ACAAACACAGCAAATAACAAAATAGACAGAAACAAAGAAAGAGAAAGAAGAAATAACAAACAGCCAGTCTGCCAGTCAGCATGCCAGCCAGCTAGACAGACAGACACAGACAGACAGACAGACAGACAGACAGACAGACAGACAGACAGACAGACAGACAGACAGACAGACAGACAGATAGACATACAGACAGACAGAGATAATATTGTTTCAACATACCGTGCTTGTCGCCATCTTGTTTAAGATGTTACAGAAGCTAAAGACGAGCTCCGCACCAGTTGTTGACCAGTCTCTGCCGACGAAGATGTTATTATTTTTAAAAAGACAAGAGGTTCCCAAAATATTCTGCCTCGATGTATTATAATAAGATGCCACTACCCGGGAACGCTTTACAAATGAATCAGTGTGTTCCTTTTAGAGTACAGAGTGAGCTCATCGCCAGACCGTCAACCTGCAGTTGCCGTTCCAGCGTTTTAAAAAAAACGGTTCTATGCTGGCCGAATTGTATTGCAGCACTAACATGAAAACTCCAGGAAAACGACGGGTGTGGCTTTGGAGTGGCGCAGACTCACTCTGGGTTTAGAAAAAACGCCACTCCAACCGATGTAGAGCTATTCACATTACGTAAACTTTAGACCCGTTGTTTCGCTTGAAATAAGAAAACGGCGACAGAACGGCGACTGGCTAAAGGTAAACACCGAGTGAGCCCGTCGCCAGCCCGTTAACGTGTGTCGCCGTTCCAGCGTTAAAAAAAACGGATTGTCACTGGAGCGACGACGTACTGTGTGGCAAAATGTTTACACCTATCCCGTGACCGTTCCAGCGTTGTCGGGATCCTTGGGAACACGACAGTCGAGATCTTTGCGATTTTCTATTGTGGTAACATTGTTTTAGCAGGCGAAGATATTGGGTTCATAGAATGAAGCAATGGCGAGTAACCTACGAGGAGTTCCACCTTAATGTAGATGAAGTTTTCAATGATGAGGAGAAGTGGTTATCTTCCATTCGAATGAAATAAAGCTTTTCTTACTTGCTGCTAGAGTTGATAGAACCTTGTATCATAATGGGGGAAACAAATTTTCGAAAACCCTGATTAACACTCTGTTTGAATAATCATCGTCTTCTCTATCATATAAACCTGCCTTTTCTTACAGCCTCTATCAAAGCTTCCACCTAAATCTTTCTTCGATGCTTAAAGAAAGAGAGAAAAAACGGTTCCAAGCTGGCCGAATTTTAGTGCGGCACTAAAATAAAAACTCCAGAGAAACGACGGGTCTGCCTCGGGTGCAGCACGGTACGCGCTGGGTTTTAAAACGGCACCACTCCAACCGCCGTAGAGCAATTCATATTGTGTAAAATTTAGACTCGTCGTTTCGCCGAAAAAACAAACGGTGACGGGCTTTCTCTATTCGTTTCTAGCGAAACGACGGGTGTGGTACGGGCGTGGCAAGGCTTCGCACTGGGTGTTTAAAGGGCACCACTCTGGGTGTTTAAAGGGCTAAGGTGTAATTCATATTTTGTAAATTTTAGACCCGCCGTTTCGGTGGGAAAAAACGGTGGCGGAAAGGCAAGGGGCTAACTCTGCACTCTCTGTTTGTACTCTTAGAAGTAGTAACCAGTATATCTACATCAATTGTTCGGAAGAGAAAAGTTTCACTGGCCGTACGAGGCAGAAATGCTAACCTCAAGAATGCAGAGTCGGTTATGTTACCTCAGTGCGTCAGGTGTGTGCGTATGTGTGTTAGTGTGTGTGTGTGTGTGTGTGTGTGTGTGTGTGTGTGTGTGTGTGTGTGTGTGCGTGTGTGTGCGTGTGTGTTTGAGTTTATGAGTGTGTATATCTATCTATCTATCTATCTATCTATCTATCTATCTATCTATCTATCTATCTATCTATCTATCTATCTATCTATCTATCTATCTATCTATCTGTCATATAATATATATACATACACACACACACACACACATATATATATATATATATATATATATATATATAAATATATGTATACATATATATATATATATATATATCATCGTCATCATCATCATTAATGCCTTCCACCCCTGGCAGGGTATAGGCCACATACTGGCTCCTTCCATGTATCTCTGTCCTGGGCCATCCTTCCAAGCTCGTTCCAAGTGAACTTCATCTCTCTCATGTCCCTTTCCACACATCTCCCCCATGCTTCCCGTGGCCTACCCCTGCTTCGTGTTCCCTGTGAGTTCCATTGCAGCGATTGTCTGGAGATGAGTCCTCTGTGATTTCTGAATGTGTGTCCCATCCATCACCACTTTCTTAGTTCTATTTCTACTTCTATGTCCTTTTGTCCTGTCCTTTCCCACAGCTCTTCATTTCTTATTCTGTCCTGCCACATAATTCTTAGAATAGCGATCATACATCTGTTGAAGAGAGTCTGGACTTTATTCAGTATTGTCTTTGTTGTCTTCTAAGTTTCGCAGCCGGAGAGGAGCACAGATTGACGCTGGAGTTAACGAGTCGAACCTTGGTACTGAGTGAGATGTTGCTTGCCCTCCAGACTTTTGTTAACTGATTGAATGCTGACCTTGCCTTGGCGGTTCGTGCTTTAATATCTGCCTCGGTTCCACCTTTACCATCGATGACACTTCCATGGTAGATAAAGGAGTCCACTTCTTCCAGGGGAGTGTCTTCCACTGTCACAACAGGGCTTAAAACTTTCATTAGCTTCACTACTTTCGACTTGCCCAGATGTATAGGTAGGCCAACACTGCCTGATAGGCTGTTGAGTTCCTAGGTCTTTTCTTGCACCTGAGCATGTGTGTGAGAGAGCAGTGCAAGGTCGTCGGCGAAGTCTAAGTCGTCCAGCTGCTGCCAAAGGAGCCACTGTATTCCATTGTGTTTGCCTCTGGAGGCTTTTTTCATATCCCAATCAAAGACAAAAGCCTTGTCGCACTCCAGTCTGTACCTGGAATGGTTCATAGGTGGCCTTCACAAACTGGACGGTTTTCTCAAGTATTCCATAATGCTGCATGAGTTTCCACAGGGTTTCCCTATCCGCGAAGTCGAATGCCCTTTCATAGTCAATGAAGTTGACCAAGAGTGGTGAATTCCATTCAAGCGATTGCTCAACATTGATGCGCAGAGTAGCGAACTGGTCCACACAAGATCGGTTCTTGCGGAAACCTGCATGGTTTCCTCTGAGCTTCTCGTCTGTTCCCAGCTTGATTCTCACCAGGAGTATCCTGTTAAAGACTTTCCCAGGTATGGACAGGAGTGTTGTGCCTCTGTAGTTGTTACAATTGTTGAGATTTCACTTCTTTGACAGTTTGATTAGGTGGCCTTCCTTCCAGTTGGAAGGTATATTCCCCTCTCGCCAAACCTTTTTGAATAGATCATAGAGAATTTCCACTAATGTATCTTTTTCTGCATTAAGGGCTACTGGTGGTATATGGCCGGGACCAGCTTCCTTGTGGGACTTCAGTAATGTTATAGTTGCAACTACTTCCTCTCCCGAAGGTGGTTCCGTAACTATTGGGAGATCATTTACTGCCTCTTTTAGCTTGTTCCGGTGTTCGTTTACTTCATATAATTTATCCAGATCTTGAAGGGCTTGAAATCTGTTCTTCAATTCCAACTTGAATTCATTCTTCTTTCTGGATCTTTCAGACGGCTCAATTCATACTTTTGACGACTTCCAGTTGAGACGTGTGCATACCTTCTCAGTTTCAGTTTCATCTTTCCAAGGATCAAATGGTAGTCTGATGCAACGTCTGCTCCTCGTGAGACTCGGATGGCCTGCGGTGAGCGTCTAAACTTTCGGAGGATGCAAAAATGATCAATCTGGTTTTCCGTTTTTCCATCTGCAGAGACCCAAGCGGCCTTGTGAATCCTTTTATGTGGGAAGATTGTTCCTCCGATAACCAAGTTGTTGAATGTACAGAAGTTCTAGAATCTTTCTCCGTTGTCATTTGCCTCTCCTAATCCATGTCTGCCCATGATTTCCTCACAGTGACTCTTGTCCAAACCTACCTTTGCATTTAGGTCTCCCATGACAGTGTTGATGCCATTTCCTGAAAGTTTGTCGATAACACTCTGCAGGCGGTTGTAGAAGTCATCTTTATTTTCCTCTTCAGTATCATTGGTTGGGGCATACACTTGTATGATGTTCATGTATATGACCTTCTTCCTACCATCTCTTCCCTTGGTTCTTTCTCAGTTCCAGATGAGGCCACGGTGATCCTTGGGCCTTGCACTTTCGAGCCCCTGAATGTCTTTTGAGCTGTTTATTATCATCCCTACTCCTTCCCTGTGTGGTCCATCACTTTCATTCTTGAATAAATGAAAAGCTCCCCCTTTTCATTCGGTTCCGTCCAGACGGGTTCAAGTGGTTTCGCTGATTCCCAGTATATGTAGTTGGTATCGGTGCATCTCTTGAAGGACCTGTCCAGTCTTTTCAGCCTCATAAAGGGTCCTAACGTTCTACGATCCAATCCGAAGAGACTTGGACTTGGATGACGGTGGAGATTTCTGACCAGCAGCTTCCTTTCGGCTTTCACTGTCTCGCGTCATAAACTCTCGGAGAAGATCCACGACCAGCTAAGCAGATTAGTGTTGGTTGTTGCTTGTATGTGTTTCAGCAACAGGTTCTTTTTACGAGAGAGGTTGTTAGGAAGGATTAATCTGTTTCGGGAGTCACTACCTGGTTCGCTATTTAGTCACCTCGTACGACACGCTGACACCACGTCAGTCCTATTCTCCTCAATGCCGTGACTGCACGGTAGATATATATATATA